TATATATATATATATATATAACTAAAGCTAAAGCGTAAGCTAACTAAAACTTACTTAGTCATTATCAATGTCGGGAACTTTATATATAAAAGTTGAAAATGACACAAAAATATTTGAACCTCTAACTTTTTTTTCAACTTCTGTTCTTTCCTGTAGCACTGTGAATCAACAATAACAAATTTTCCAAGTCTATTATTTATTTTTTTGTTCGAAAGTTTTTCTGATTTAGCTTGTCAAATCTAATACCTGTGGTGCTTGCTTGAACTCAAATGTATTTCTCACTTTAACTTTTAATTTACCATTAATTTCATTACTAATTTGTTTTAAAAAAATAGGAAAAATGATTCTGATAAGTAATCTTCAAGTGAAAAAACAGTCAGATAAATAGATTTCTACACACACATATATATGACAAAGATTACTTTAAATTAGTTAGTATTAAAGTGAACTAAAGTATAATAATAACAAGTGAAATTATAATATACTACTAATTTCATTCATTACAATAATTTTTTTCAAAAATTAAAAAAAAACTACTCACTTTTTTTAGTGTTTTTTTTTACAGTGAAAATTCCTTGAAGGATTGTAGTCAGTGAATTAACCAAAAAGGAATTTGAAAACCGTAAATAGAAATAAAATACTGATGTGATGTGAAATGAAACAATAATTTAGCGAATTCTCGAAACGTTTTTTGCAAATTTGTTATCAATCAATTACAAGTGATGCATTCCTATTCTCATATCAGTTTCTTGATGCGATATTTGGAGTATTAACTATTTCACATGAATTAAAAAGCATAAAATCATTACTAAATTAATAAATTTCAACTTACAATTTATCACAATTGTATGTTTTTTTCCCGACTTTTGTTTTCTGTTACTGACAAAAATTTGTTAAAAAGTAGTATTTCATTGAACTTTTCTGAATTAATGTATCATGCAAGTTGTCATGAAATGAATAAGAATTAGTATAAAAAGTAAAGCCAAATATGAAATTAAAAAATTTACAAAATTTGTTTGTTTTTCCTTTCTGACAGTTTCAGTAAACAGTAGCTCACTTGAAAAGAATAGATTATTAGTAAGTGATTTCAGCAAACCTTATCGCATATTTATCATAAAATAAGTGATATATGATTTCCCAAATAGCTAGCTGCTTGCTATCACATGCAAAAAATTTAGTGGAGTAAAAAATGACATATTATTTCAAACCTTTAAAGTCTCCACTTTTAGTTGAAAACTGGACTTGATTTAAGGTATTTATTGTAATCTCTGAGATGAGAATTAACCTTTGTACAGAAGCAATACTAAAAAGCTTTTTTTTAATACATTTTTTTACACAGTATTTTTATAATTGCACGCAATTCGCTTTGAAAATTAGTTTTGCTGTGTAAACAGGAATGAAAATCATTATGGAACGAGTTTTATTTTGAATAAATTGAAATCACCGTAAACTTTTAAAAACCATAAATGCTCTTCATCGCTCTTTTTGCAAAACCAGTACTCTCAAAAGTTCATTTTAAATTTGAAAGTGGTAAGTAAATTAAATATTTTTACTCCATTATTTGATCAGTCAGTAATTTCTTTACTTTAATTAGACAGTGTTTTATAATTTATAATTATCTGGGATTTACTCAAAATCTTATCAGTAAACAAAATGCTGATTAGAAAATTTGACACTTCCTCTATCCACTGATTATTCAAACACAATTTTGCAAATAGACCAAAAAACAAGGACGAGATTGCAGATACAAATATTGCTGAGCAGAATTATAATACAAAATTTCTGACATGAAGTGTTAAACTTTTTTGTTTTGATTCAAAATTGCTTTGGAAGTGATTTATTTGCTTGAAGCAAGATTTTCTAAATTTTTTATGCTCAGACTATATAACTTTCGAATCTTTGAAAATTAAAGATTGTAAAGAATGAAGAGCAGTTGAATATTAAAGAATTTTTTGAAATGATGGAATTGAAAAATACGTAGGTAATTATTTTTTTGGTTTCTGCTTTTGATATGAGCTGGTATGAGAAGGCCAAGTATTTCAGATATAAAATAAACTGATAATTGAAATTATTTCCGTATGAATTTTGTTTATTTCACAGGGGATTTTTACGTGCTCCACTGATGAATGAGTGACATAATAAAAATTTTATCAGTGGAAGTACAAAATCAGAGAAGAGAATTAGGAAAAGTCAGTGCTTTGTCACGAATAGGCAACTTAACTGGATGGATGATGACCCAATTCTGACCTTTCCACGTATTGCTGACCCAAATTTTTCTTCTCACAAAAGAAGCGTAATTTCAAGAAACCATTGTTATTATTTTTGTCGATCCGTTCGATGAGAGCTGTCAGTTTTCTGCTTACTGTTATGGGAGTGCTTGTCAATCTTGTCCAAACATATAACCGCCCAAGTTTGTTCGCTTTTTGTGACTTCAATTTAAATTTTATAATAAAATTAAAACAATGACTCATAAATGTTCCTATAAGATGGACTATAGAGCTAAATATAAAAAAGAAAGCAGTTAAACAATATATGCTTGTGAAGAAAGCAATTTCTGCTAATGAAATACAGAAATTGTTGTTTGTAAGTTTTTTGAAGCACACTCAAATTTTTCATTCATCAGAAGTGCTTTAGCAGTAATTGAATAAGCGTTTGCCAAGAATGCAAAATATGGTAATGTTGAAGTTTTGGAAAGAAACTTTGAAGCAGCTCATATTTTCATTGGAAGCATGCAAAATTTCAGATGCAAAACTGAATCCCACTTCAATTTTTAGACCATTTTGGAAATCCTTGTGTATTATGCAAATGTTTTGTAATGTATACGGATCGAGATAAGCCATTATCATCAGTACCTTATGGAGTTGCTAAAGATGGTTATGATAGCACCGAGGATCAGTGCTTATCGACTTGTTTAAAAGATAATGTAAGCTTCAGTTAATTTATTTATAGAAAAGGCGAAAAAATTATTTGTCGTACAGTTGAAAATTTAAAAGAATGTGCAAGTGGATGGCAAATGTAAATTCCACCGATATAAAAAATAAAATGTATTGGAAGTTTAACCGTGATGAAAAGCATAAAACTGCGTATTTTTTGTTTAATTATTCCATAAATAATATTTTTGAAAAAAAGACTTAGTTCGATCTCAATGCTCTTCCACTTTGGAAGTAATAACGACAATGCAACATAACAGGACGTTAGATAAAGTAACTTTGTTTAATGTAATCATGCAAAATAACTAATTATAATTGACTGACTCATCTATTATTAATTATTTTGCATGAATGCTTACATTCTATATAAATTTGGAGTCAATTACAAAACTTTTCAATTTGATAAAATGGAGCAAATTTAAGTAAAATTAAATATTTTCTTTATGTCAGCACTTTTGAATAACTGAAAACTGATATTATTTTTTCCATATTGCCATCATCTATTACAATTAGTGAGATTCAAGTTTAAAAATGTGTTACTAGTAAATTTTTAATCAAATAATGAAATATGAACTCTACTGAAAGCACAAAAATTTGACAAATATACTTCATCTTCAAGTTTGCATATTTGTTATTTGAAGGTTTTCAATATCGTCGACTAAATTGGTAGTTTACAAAATACTTAGATTGTAGGTTTCATATGAAAAGCCAGATCTTTTCAGAAGTGTAAGGGAGTTGTGTATGGATTAGTCGGAGGACGTAATGTCTTTACGTGTGAACTTTATGCAGACGCGGCTCTTGATGAGTTAATATATGTTCCCCATGTAAATATTTATCTACCAAAAAGGAGATCAGAATGTCATGTGTATTGTAAGTTTATCTTTTACAAATATAATGATCATTTTTCGTACATCATATATAATGATGATCGTTTAATTTGGAATACTTAAGATATGGACTTTATTGAATAACTGCAGCTTTTTTTATTACTTGTATGGTGTAAGTATTTTTAATGTTTTTGTTCTAGAAAAACAGAATTAATTTAAACGTTCTTTCACTAATGTTTTGCATCATAGATCAACACCTGAGAAGTTTGGAGTTAACTGACCGACAGAAGGAAACGATGAAGCGGAAAAAAATTTATCTTACTTTGTCTCAGCAGCAGAATCCTTTTAATTTTGGCTAGATCGTCAGCTTACTGCTTCATCATTTGGTGGCTAGTGGTGGATTCCAGTTCTTGATGTCTGCTTAATAGCTAATAAAGGCAATAACTGCCGTAATTTGGACTTAATACAAATTTTCATTAATTAAATTAGAAATACTTATCAATTTGTCAACCTCACAATCCCAGTATTTTTCTTCACAGGGGATCATTTTTTAGCCAGAATAACCACATTTCATTTATATCAGTTCTTTCTGACTGTTTCATACCATTACAAAGTATATACAGTCATGATTAGTTGCTTTAAAATACTATGGGCCTTACTGAAAAATTTTAGCTTTTATTTAAGTAATTGCCTCTCGCTCTCTTTATCAGATTAACTTTCACTATTAAAATTTAGCCATTTTTGTTATCTCAAATGTCCTGGTACTGCATTTTTTTAGATTTTAAATGACCAATTATTGATATTTTCTAGTAGTATTCATTTGGAAAATAAAAGTCTTAACTACTTACCTTTATCGCCTCTTGAATATCTAATCCAGAAATAAACTGAAACCAAAATCATAACTAAGCACAATAGTAGAATGGATCAGTCTACTCAAGTATCATTATGACTTACAATTAAGTAAAATATGATTATCATAGCTATCTTAATTTGAATAATTGTTTAGATATATGTTCATGAGATACAAAAGTCTAGTGCCTTTTGCAGAAATTTCACTGTAAGAAAGTCACTTTGCTTATTTAAAAGTTTTATTTATGACTTCCTTATGAAAGTCATACCTTTTCTCTCGCTATTAATTCGAAAAAAAGACATTTGAAAACAAATCACAAATAATTGTACATTTGAGTGTAAAGTTTTTATTGTGTATACAGTTTGCATAAGTACAATTATAAGCCGTTTGCGCTTTTTATTTAAGTAAGTTTTAGTTAAGCAGCTTACTTGATCATTAGTTAATAGATTACTCAAATTCACTGCAATCTCAGATTAAAATTTCATACGTAATAACCATGGAAAAGGTAATTCTATTTTGTGGACAAGACTGTAAAGACAACAATGGAAAATTTTTAGAAAAATTAGTGATTATGAAAGTTGAGAGTTCAGAAAGCAACTGCAATAAGTAAATTCACAAAATAAAGATTAGAAACTTTTCTACAGTCAATTTTAATAAAATCAACGTCAATGAATTCACTATTTTTGTTCTTCGCATCATTCGTTACTAATCTTTGTACGTGACTTGTTTTAGCTTACTGACATTTATCATTTGTCGTTTGTTCATAATGGAATTTAAGCATTTATGGAATTAAAAGTGATTGCGTGAGTTATTATATTGACAAAAAAGGCATAATATGATTGTAAACATAAATTGGATGCACTGTTATCAAACAGTCAAATGCTATAAGCTATTACATTTACTTGTCTTTCTTCGAAATTCACTTTTTGGAGCACTACTTATTACAAATGATTCTGACTTATTTTTAGTTTGAGTGGTTTTGTTGGAAAAAATACTTAGCTTAGTTATGCAAAAATAAGAGTAGTGTCAGGAAAACCTAGCTTGCAGTCGAAAACAAGTTTTCATGATGTAATGCCAGCTCATTCGACAAAACAGTAACTCAGACTTATTATGTGTAGCTAAAGCAGCTGATGATATGCAATTTTTTCCAGGAAAAGTCAGGAATTTTATGTTTGTTGGACTTATACAAAATAGCAATGGACGTTTGTTGTATCCTAAGGGATTTTAAGAAAGAAAAGGGAGATTCCATAGACAATACTTATGTAGACAGAGAAGGAGACAAAGGTCATTAAATGGTCATCGCACGGTAACTAATTTTTGCTACACGAGATGAATGAGAGGAGGAAGCTGAGGGTGAGGAGGTCATTTTATTTTATATTATGTCCTTTGATTGGCATCATGGAGACCTCGACATTTGGCATTATACTCCGCTCGTAATTGTCTTTCGTTGTTAGCGTTTTTTTCTCAAGCCAAAAGCGGGATTTCTATCTGAAAGATGTCATCGACAATTAAGTCAGCCAAGATTGAAGTGTCATCATTGAGCAATGATGAACCTACTGAAAAGGATTTTAGTACTAAAATCTGTTGCAAAAGTGTAAGTACTTATTTTTGAGTCTTCAATTATTTGCTATGTATTGAATGTGATAAATTTCACATCAAATTTCAAATGATGTATTAGTACTTATTTAGTGTTAGAAAATCATTAAAGAATGTTAATATTAAATATCTTTAGTTTTTGATTTTTTGAAATCTATAACATATGGCAAAAAATTACTCAAAAAATTTCAAAAACAAAGTTTTCAAGTCTTTGCAACTAAATCTTTCACATTCACTATATCATTTGCAATTGATTTTTTGTCGAAATGCTTATAATTTTCTTCGTAACATCGTTTAATTTATAGGTAGAAAACTATGAATTTGTCAGCAAAGAGGTGCAGAAAAAGGATTGCAAAATTTGGCAACGAAAAAGTCAACGATTATGTACATTTTACGAAAATAAAAGTGATCCGAGTGAACGGAGAGATCCGAGACTGATCGAAGATGTTGATTTCTGCAATCCTGATAATAGGGCTAATAATAACCATGTTATTATGGACTTTAGTGAAGTATTCCTGGGACCGAAAACAAGTCATTCGTTCAAATGTACTTGCTTTACAGCTAATCAGATCTACTCAGTTACAAGTACTACAGTGTATAAAATTTTGACTGCTTTAATTTCTATTCCCTTTGCTATATTCTTTGGTACTTTGTTTGCTGTCTTCGCAGCAATAAGCGTTTTTTTGTGCACACCGTTTGTCATGCTAGCTAGTATGCCACTCAACGGATTCTCTAAGGTTTGAATTTTCTCAAGTTTTGTAAACAGTAATAATCTACATTGGTCAAAACAGCTTCAATTTCTTATAAATTTTTGCTCTAAAACATTCTGCATCTTTTAGTTTTTTAAGCAACTTAGCAAATTTAAGCACTATAATGACATTGCATGCAAAGCTTCAAGGCTTTTAATACAGTGCATAACAAGACTGTATGTGATATTTAACATGTGCTGTGGAAAAATTTTTGATAAACCGAGCCACAATTGAAAGAAAAAATTGGAATTTGTTTATCTTATAATTCTTGTAAAACTGCCACTTTTACTGACTAATCATGATATTTTTTAGATTTGGAGTTTTTTCGTCGACAAATTTCTGAATCCAATTATTCAAGCAATTTTTTGCAGAGAAAGGAGTGCGGAAAAAAATAGCGTAGCAATAATTGTTTAATCTATCCTTCATTTATTATCTTATACGTGAAGCAATTTTTTGTCGTTGTATGGATCCAAATTTGCCACCCAGCATATTAGAGTTTTCAAGCCTTATTTCTATCAACGTTTTGCATTAATCTCAAGCAATTTTTTCTAAACATTAAACGATATTAAATATGCTTAATGTGTTCTGCCTTCTGGAAGAATGAAAGATATGTCCAAGAGAAAAAATAAAGTATAATGAAAATGAAAAGTTTCATTCATATTTTTAATATGATTGCTATTCTTCCTCTTCATAATGTTCAAAATTACTTTCAGATTTTGTTCTCGAAGAAAGAACATATTAGAAATAGTCACTACCACTCGTTTAAGAAAACACATCAAGAAACAAACAGTATTAAATGGTAGATTTCCATTTCCGTTTTAGAATTCAATAAATTTGATTCACAAGCGTAAAAAATGTACATGTTTCTTATCGTATCCTCAGATGGAACATTTCCATCATATTGTCTGAAAGGTCAGATAGTAGCTAACAGAGTTGTAGTAGCACAAAATATAATATTGGTACTTACATTACACATAAAGTTTTCCTGCATTCAGCCAACTGAAAATATTTCTATGAGAAAATCCCTTATCAATTAAATAAATAAAGGTAGAAAATTTCCTTTCCTCTTGATACTGAATAAATTTTATTGTTCTCTAAAAATAAGATGAGAACAACTCACATACAACATTATTATAGATTTCTAACCATTTCTTCTTCCCGTTCTTCAGCGTTTAATAAGACGGTATAGAATGTTGCTGACATTTATATCAAATTTCACCTTTAAATAGAGAGATGATTGTAATGAAGTTATAGATGAGATCACTTCATAGAAACAGAATTTGCTAAATGTAGATCATTTTGCCTGCCAACGACACTCATGTTTTCCCACATATTAGTGTCGGAAAGATAATGCCGATATTTTCAGCATGTATTGAAGATTCTAGGAATCTTCTAATTTAATTATTTGAAAATTTTTACCACTGCAGTTGTACTACTAAAGATTTGTCATTGAAATGATTTGAATAAGAGCTGCGAGAGGTGAAATCATAAGACCAATTGGAAAAAATTTGCAGGGAAAACATCAACCATTACATTGTTTTTAAGAGCTAAGCATTTGATTTAAAAACCTTATAAATTCTATCGTTAATGATCAGATCGTAAATCAATATTTTAGGCACATAAATGTGATCATAGCAGGTCAATTAATTCAATGGTCGCGAAGAGCAGTGCTGTTTCCTTCATTTGTTGAGTAGGGAACAAAGATGGTAAAAAAGCATTTTTATTGAAAATTCATTTTTCTGTCAAAAGTTAAATTCATAATGAAGATATCCAGGAATCATTTTAAGCTACAATTGTCAGATAGGATAAAGAATTGGCAGATAAGAAAAATGGATCTGATATTTCAGCAATGGAATATCCTTTAGCTAAACGATGCGCCATATCCTGAACATTTTCGGCTACGTTTCGCATAAATAACATAAATGATAGTGAATTTAGAGCATATGGTATTAAATGAATACAAATACATATGGTATTAAATGAGTACATAATGAATTCAACAAATATGTAAACAGCAAGATGCATCACAGACTAGATGTCTCCAGATATTGAAAACAACTTAAAGCCATTTCGAATCCAAGAAAACATGCAGCATTTGCAGGGAAAGCACGTGCCATGACAGGTGTAAAGCCTCTGAATAAAGCTCTTGGACCTTCTTCCTGCATTGTTTCCTTGAACACACTACGTATTCCTAAAACATTAATGAATGCAACAAAACTCATACGGAAAAATATGTAGACTGAAGTGACTGTTAACTGATGTATTAGAAAAGTGTTTTCACAATACAACATCTTTCAAAGTACGAGAATATTCTTGCTTTTATACTAGATAGATAACCTTTTGGATACTTCCCTTCCGGTGCTGTCTGTAAACGTGACTTTAGTACATCTGCTGGAATACATAGAGACCAATTAGCAATGCCAGCAAAACCACCGGCCATTAGAGTTGACATTACGCTTAACTTCTTAGTTTTGTCATCTCCCGTAAACAGTTTTTTGAGATATTCATAAGTTGCCAAATAGATGCCACTAGATGGAATATCTGATGAAATAATCTTTCTTCATTCACAAATATCTGGAGAGACAAAAATCAAAGAAAAAAACAAATACCTTCAGCAATAACAATAAATAAATAGCTTTAATAAGAAAGCTCAAAAAGATTTGATAAACTTATTGATTTCCAACCTCTCAGTAAAGTTGCCATAGTGCCTCTGTAAATGCTGCTAACACCACCCTCTTTATATAATGTCTTAACCACATCTACAGGGCCTTTGTAATGTGCGAATGATGAATTTGAAGAGCATGAATGTTGTACCTTAATTATATGACTACATTGGAACTGTGAGAAATTTTATCCCCATCCAATAAATATAGACAAATCACAGTCGAAGCCAACATAAATATTCAACCTGTAAAAGACACTTGATACGCTCACCAGGCACCATAATTATAGTAGTAAACATGCCAGCAAGACTACCAGATAGAAAATTTTGAAAAATAGTCATTTCTTGATCTGGCGAATTTTGTTGTAACCATCTACCAAATGAGCATCCACCAAAATAAATAGCAAATAAAGGTGATACTCCTAATACTGGAGCAGCCATACCCTAAAGCTAAAGTATGAACGACAATACGTAAATATTGATAGCAATGTGAAAATCTTGAGAAATTCAAAATAAATCAAACTAATTGAAATTGGTCGATGATTAGAAATATTTTTTTGAAAGTGAACATGTTTACGAAATTAGAAGCATTAAAGAAATATAGTTAAGCTAATTAACAGCCTTTAAATTATTGTCCACTGTCACAGCTAATCTATATTTAAACAATTAGTACATATAAAGAAATGAAAACAATAAAGCGTAATAAATCGAAGCGGAAATAAAGCAAACAATGAGTAGTAGAGTTACCTTATATAATGAAAAAAACCCTTCTCTGACAATCATTTGTTTGAGACAATCTAAAGCGCCAGTATATATCGGTGCCTTTCCAGACGGAATTCCAGTCATTGTTTGAAGGCGTACCTTTATAGTATCAAATGGATGTCCTGATATTACACAACATGTACCACCTACACCTCCAGCAATAAAGTTTTGAAAAATTTCATAATTTGCACCATGTGTTGCAGACATATTGCGGTAGTGACTATCCTAAAAGTCATATTTTCATGATTATAAAATTTCTGCTGTGAATTTGCGGGAAAAAATGATCATGAAGGAGAAAATACAAAAGCATGCGCACCATAATATAAATTCAGTCTTCCACACTTATTGAAAAAATGACAAAAACACACAAGAAGGTAGCGGAAAAAAAATAATTAACAACAAACAGTGTGGTGATTGCAATTAGTTTTATAAATCAAATGTTTAATTCACTGATACAGAAAAGATTTTTCCAATCCTAATTTAATGATCAAGACATTATGCAGATTCACTATAAATGTCCATCAACCACTACTTACAAATACAAATACCGATTAATGGTTGTCTTCATTGCGTTGAAACAGTCTTCCACGCTGCTTGCAATTACTAAAAAACAAGTGAATGATCACATTTCACAAATTAAAAGTGAAATTAAGACTAACAATATGACTTATAAGATTGAACAAATGGAGCAGAGGGATTTATTAGTAACAAAATGACCACCGCTAAAGCAAAAAAAACATTCTAAAACTTATAATATTCAATGTTTGGTAGTACAGTCCAGTCATTCAAGTTAAAATGGTCAAAATGAACTCTCATTAATAGGAATTAAGGAGTGATTTCATAAATAAAATCCAGCCATTAAATAAAAGATGAATTCAACAACTATCAAATAACACTCCAAAAGACTACAGTCAACCAGAGAACAACTCACATTAGTAACGAAAGAAGTAAACAGATCGTGTGAACAGGTAATCACATCTCTAAGCAAACACATCAGAATATTTGCTGACAAAAACTCATATTACTTGCACATCGCTGCCGCTCTTCCAAATTATTAGATATCTACTGCTACAGGTACCAACTTCTCGTAGTACCAATTCTACAATTCCCTGATTATGTGCAGAAAAATTGTAAAGAATGACAACTTCTATTTAATAGTTATACAAAAACTAGGTGCTTTACAAATATAAAATTCACAAACTCCCTAATTCTTTTCGACGCACTGCGGTACGTCACTTTCAGTACTGCACAAAATCCCTTCCTTTACGATAAAAAATACTATCTTACTTTACCTAAAAAATCATAGCGTAACAGCAAACAACTAAGTTCCATTTAATTCTATGAGATTAAAAAAGCACAGTAATAACAAAAACAATAACCTCTACCATACATTGAGACCAAATTACGATATCCTTCTTAAATGCACCAAATACGTCATGTTAACAACGAATAAACAAACTGTTATTATACTGTGTTGCGCATTTATTTGCAACTAAAATTCCAGATTCTGATGAACACACAAAATGCTTAGAATATTATATGCATAAAGAAACAACGGTTGCAGATGAGAACTAAACAATAATTAATCTGCAGAGAAATTTTAAACGTCAAATATATATTCTAATTCAGGACTTCTTGGCATTTGCTCAAAATAAGAAAATATAAATTAAACACTATAATACAATGGGCGAGAAAAACGTAAATGATACATACACATATATAATTATAAATTTATATTTTAAATAGAACAGCTTTTTAAATAGAAGAAAGACAACTGATTTCTTTCTTTCACACCAAATGAATGCCAACAGTGAAAAGCTCAAGTTTTGATTACAAAATCTCAAAATCAAGATCGAAAAATATGGCAAGAAAAAACAATGTTTACAGCTGTAAGGGAATGAATAAAAAACATGAACGAATGAATGATTTTATGCTCTAAAACAGGTATACATACGACATAAGTAGACCTTAAAATATGTACAAAAAAAGATAAATCTTTTTTTCTAGATTTCTGATATGAAAATACCTCTTGATCCTCAGTTAGCCATGAACACATTAACACAAGAATGAGATTACGGAATTTAATAAAAAATTGGTGAATTTCTCATGATATAACTTTCATAGTATTTTAATACTATTTCCATTGCTTTTTTTTTCAGCTCTCATGGACATAAAATACAAATCTACAAAATAATAATAATAATAATAACTAAGCAGTTGGAACATCCAGAAAACTGAAAGATAAAAATTTTCTAAAAATGCAACATATGCTACAACTGTGAGAAATACTTTCAAATTAGGTATCTAGCAACCCTTCACGTAAGAGGTGTTCATACAAAGACTGAAATATGTGGAGCTGTTCGTCAACAGGAAGCCAAAAAATTTGTTGCAGAAGCTTAGATGGATTGGGTACTCTGAAAAATAAGATCATGGAAATAATAATCGTTATTTCGATATTTATTAAATCTTGAGGAAAATTGGCAACATATCAATATGAGAGAAGAGAAAGCAATACAAAAAAAGCAAACTTAATGAATGTATGAATATAGACATTTACGAATGTTCCCATTAGAAGTTGACAATCAAATCGATCCATTAGACCACCATGCCCAGGAATTACATCACCGAAATCCTAAAAAACTTAGAAAGAATATCTTACTAATTACACAGTAACTGAACAAATTAAATGCGACTAAAATTTTCAATTAAAAAAGACCTTGATTTTGAATGCTCGCTTGAATCCACTAGCAAAGAACCCACCAAAAGGGCCAAGAATAGACGCAAACAAGCCCATTACTATTGTGTGAAGTAAAAAAGGATGAATTTGTATTACTGCAGGTTTTTGCATCAACCGGAAAATAACTGAAAATGGTCGGCCAACAGCAAATTCTCTAAAATAATCTCAATTAAAACTGCATGCAATGCCGGCAGTCACAAGAAAAATATGCTCAAATACAGCAAATGTCTAACTTAAGATTTATACTGTACTTTTAAATCTCATTCTTCGTCAAATACAACAAAAAAACTTCGATCAATCATAAAAATAAAGTACCTTTGAATAAATGAAGATGGAACAGTGCAGTTATAGTTTTCTACTGTATAATCTTCCAATGGACAAACAAAAAAAGGATGGTGAAGAAGACACAAAGAGAGCTGAAATTTGGTAATTAGTCAAGCTTTAAAGAAATTTTCGATAAAATAAAGAACAAAAATTTTTGTACGGAACTAACTTTCTTTCAAAAAAAACGTGACTGAAGTGCATGATCTGTTTATGAAGGACAAACAACCATAACTGAAAGTCTGGTTAACATAAACATCTTTTCCCTGCCTGACTATTGCTGAATAACTTACAATTAAGCCAAATATAACAGTGCTGATACCACCTCCAATGAAACCTTCCCAAGTTTTCTTTGGAGACAATTTGATTAGTGGGGTTTTTCCAAAAAAAAACCCGAATATGTACGACATTATATCGCAGCAAATTACCATCGAGACTGGAACAAGAAACCTAGAATGATCTATGTCGTCATATACCAAAAGAATGCAATCCATTTTGGCACGAATGAACATAAATTTTACATGAAATTTATGAAAAAGGAAACCAACCATATCAGTCCTTGAAAGATATTTTGAATGATGAGAAATGATTGCGAAACAATTAATAGGAGTGTTACATGAGACCACGCAAACTGAAAATAGGCAGGATGATCATAAAGTTGATATGCTATAAAATATTGCAACTAATAGTAAGGTAGAAAAGATAATTTCCGCAGTATTTTTACATTTAAACGATCGTTGATATGAAACACGCAAAACTTTGAAGGTTTCGAGAATTTAAAAATTACGAGTAATTTAATTAAAAGTATCAAGAGTAAATTTATAAAGCGTATCTCTATTTTTGTTTTAATACAAAACACTGACCAACCAAATCTTTATACTATTGAACAAAATAGGACAGAAATCAGTCTGACACCTCAAGATGTGACATTGGAAAGACCACTTACTAATGAAAACTGTCGTAGGTAGTAGCCTTTTCGCAGTGATAAAACAAACCACACGAACCCTATACAGTATAAAGCAAAACTAATTAAACGATGATGAGCCACCATGAAATGTAGAAACTGCTGAAAAGTAATAATTGAAAAGATATATGTGAAAGACCCATAAGTAAAAGATAAAAGTAAACTACCATGTCCTTATACAAAATACCAGCGTAAACAGCCTATTTCTATTTTAACATAAATTGCAGGGGCAAAACTAATAAAAATTATTAAATGTTCGGAACAGCAGAAAAAAAATTAAAAAGTCTGTAAATACGCACATCTTTCCTCAATAAAATACCCCAGTAGTCGATCAAACTTTCACCAAAGAAAAAGTAATTGGATGAAAGCAGAAAATACCATGAAAGTGCACGAAACCATGGTAGTGAATAGAGTCGATAGACTGCTAGACCAATAGTAATAATCTCATGGAAACACCAAAACTGTATCACAAATACCTGAAACATCAATCATTATTTCAAAAGATAAACAACAATTTTGCTAGAACTCTTTACAATGATTTGTGATCAAGTCATACCAAGGCCATAAGCCACGTAGCTCCCATTTTAATAATCACGGAAAACAACAGAACCATAACTACAGAAAATATACCTCGTACAATCCAATTTCTCCACCTAAAATGAAATATAAGTAGAAACACAAGAATGGGTTTTCTTCATTGATTCTGCCACCAAACAGTTTGATAATTTGAAGAATATAAAATCACGACATCTTTTTTCAGTTTATGAAGAATATCAGTAAGTAAACAAAGTAGTACATCAAGTCTAAGTTTCATGACTAATTTTTCACGCATATGGCCGACAAAGTCTATATTGCAGAAGAAAAACCTAGGTGGTAAAGGTGAAAGAACAGGATCAATAAATTCTCCCAAACGATCTGAACCCTGCGGTAAATCTTTTGTGAGTTGCGACATCCTAAACGGAGAAACATGTATAATACTTTTTACAGATATAAAACACGAACAATGTACAGTAAAAAGTTGATAAAGCACAATGTCACGAGCACACCAAATTGATAATGAAGGAACTTACGTTTTTGAAGATTTAATGCTGCAAATAGAAAACATCATAAGTTTTGACATATATCATATTTACAAAGCAGTATATAAGAACTCAAAAAAAAAACTTACTAAAAAAATAATTAATGCAAATTTTAGAAAATATTTATATACTTACTTTTCGCAACTGATAATAATGTCTGCATCACTGTCATCTGTGGTAACTCGATAATCGGTTTTTGGTTTAATATTATACGATCCATCATCACTGCTAAGACAGTTTTTCGAAATCGATGATGCTGGTTTCCGCTTTCGAATCATTTCATCCTCTGTCGTGTCCATCTCAAAAACACAAATAGATAAAGAAGACAAATGCTCAACAGGTTTGATGGAAAACAAGAGGTTTACATACATATGTATACGATGAAGTCCTCAATACTGAATATATGAAATAACATCGATGTACAAATAAACCAGAATTATTCATGGTACTACTCCCGACCAAATAAAAATAAAACTTGAAGTCAAAAATAGACTCCTTTGCTTTTGGCTTTGTGTTCAGTAAGGTATCACTTTATATTATATGAATGCCTATTTTGCGGTGAACAAAAATAATCATCGATTAATTCTCCTGATGCATTCGTTACAGTACTCTAATAGTAACTTCTTCTCCACGAATTCTTACTCAAATTAAAACTACACCAATAATCTGCGTTACAATTTGCATTAATCAAGAACAATAACTATGACCAAATAGCACATTATGAAAACTATAATTTCAATCGCGAACTGCAACATAATTAATAATAATTAGTAGACGTGAGACTTTAAACAGATGCAATGCAAGGCTATTACTTGCAATCGCCATTTAAAAAAAAATTGAATGACGATTGGAACTCTTTACTTTTGACTTGATAAAGATTGCAATAAAAATGATAACAAATGACTGAGTACTGTGAATAGCATTTGACGCAGCATTTGACGCTTAAAATCTTCATTAACTGTTCTTTCGACAATCTTCATATGAATCACGTCTGTCCACTGCAATAAACGTTTGTTTGAGAGGAGAAAATAAAGAATTATTCATCGCAGTAATACTGTACCCTCAAATTATAACATGCACATGTTGATTCAGAAGCTCAGAGAAAACAATGCAAAACCACTAATGATGTGTTAGAATCGATCGGAGCAACCAATTTTTTGCATACTTAATAACTTTTAATAAATTATATACTGAACTACCAGATTATGAATACATGCTTGAATTCCACCTGCTCTATTGAAGAAATTGAAGAAAGTAAAGATGTCATGAGATTCGAAAGCAACTTGACATTCTTCAGCACTTTTCATGGCTTGCTATAGGAAACACATCACGACAAAGAATATTTAGACAAATGTTTCTTCCATTCCTAGACTTTTTCATGATGTTCACACTTTGAAGTGCTATAAGGATAGAAAACGAGACAGGTTTTATCCCGTATGAGACCAAGTTTTCGTGAACACTACTTGCTACCATATTGGAATCAATCACGGATATTACTAGAGATAGTAATATGGGCTCATTCTAGCAAGCGTAGTTTAAAAATGGTATCTTTTTCTACGCGAAACTACTTAGTGATTTTGCAACTGCGTTCAATGCCAATACAGTGGTCTTACACACTAACTTCGCAGAATGAAATTAAACAGGACACTGAAATTGCAAGTAAATAAATCTTGTGTAAATCGTTATTGATTAAACTTGTTGCTTCCGTTGTGAGAAAAAGAGTGTGACTAGGAAATCGTTTAGTGCTCAAGTAGGTATCAAGGTGGAGTGAGAGACGGTGGCGATTTAGACCAGCACCAGCATTCCAGAACGATCAATGATAACTGAAGGAGATGAGAAGCATCCTCTGAAACTGCTGGTGATTTTGGAATGCTAAAAGTTCACTGCGATCAAATACATCTTAGGTATGGGAAGGAAGATTGGAAACCAAGCAAAAGCAGCAGTAAAATGAATGAAGTAAAAAATCTGAAGAAAAAGTAAAGAATGAAATATGAAGAATGAGAGCAAGTACAAGGAGAAGTAGATATCAATGGATTTGGATTAAAGATGGAGAGGGACCAACTGATTGCGTGTGAGATTCTCAAACAGAAAAGAAAACTGAATCAATGAATGGACGAATGGATGAATGAATGAATGAATGAATGAATGGATAAATGAATAAATAAATATATGAATGAGTGAGTAAGTGAAAGAATGACTAGATAGATAAGTGATAGATACGGAAGACTAGCGAATATGTGCAAAGTTTTCTTTTCATTGCTAACCAGAACTACTGCTTCATCATCTATCCAGAAATAGTGGAATGTCAGCCGAAGCATCACACCACCCTCGAAGGTTTGCGTTTTTTATTGATTACTAACTACGAGTCAACTTTGCATACAACTTGGATTCACACTTATGCCAGCATCCATTTACCACTATTTCTTCCTTTTCACTGCAGATAGCTACGTTCCACTTTACTATTACTATATTAGTAAATCATTACCATTGTGCTCCACTATATTGCATATGGCAGGCATCTGTGTGTAGAAAGCAATTATCTCAGATATCAAACATTTGCTTGCTGAAGACATGCAAGCAGCTCTTCTCCGTAAAATCCACTTTCAAAAAAGGCCGCACCAAGCATTATCTTGTCTTTAAACAGGCGCAAGAATCTCCTTTTGCTATTAGTTTCTTAATTTTACTACAAAATGCGCTCAACTCCACAATCTTCCCTTCTGTCATGAAACATTCAAGAAAAGTCTTTCACTTCATTGTCTCAGTTGCTTTCCACTTTGCAAATGCCTTTTATATAAACTTGCATCCAATACGCAATACTGCAAAAACCACTTGTCACATTTGTAGTTTTTTTTTCTCACAAAAGCTCTGTATAATTTCACTGAGTATTTTATTAGATGGATATTAGCATGAAAGCTTCTGGGATTCTGACAGTCTTTCTACTACACTCTTTGAAGTTAAGTTGACTTTTCATATTCTAAAGTCAAAATATTCAAGAAATTCGTTCCTATTAAAATACGTAAAAAAAAGACCTGTGAGCTGAGCTCTTGAATTTAGTATTCAATTCGCTAATATCTTACATTGGCAAATATTTCTACGAAATTAACCATTATGCAAATTAATGAATGCATCATCAGGTTATTTATTTTGTATTGCATATAATCTTATTAACAAAAATTACGTAAAAGTGCGAACGCTGATGACAATTTATTTTCATATTAAAAATTCACATATTTCTTAAAAGATATTCTGAGTCACTGATGTCAAAAAATTTAATAGATAGTGCTGAAACTGAACGATATTTATGACACAAATAATTTATCTACATTGCAACGCAAATAAAAAGCTTGTACAGAGAAATGTGCACAATCAGGTGAAAGAGCATTAATTTATGCAATCAATTTGAAAAGTAGAAGGAAAATTTTGCAGGCGACGTCGGACTTATTCGGAAGAAGAATCCCAACTTTCAGGATGGAAGCTGGGTGTCATTGTTGGAGTGATAATTATGTGTTTTGCCATGCTTTATCCGAGCATGCTTCATCCTCTCGTAACATCACTTTTTTTGCGTACGTCTCCGACGCCAAAGACAATCACGAATCGACCACCCATTCATCCAGCCATGACTTCAGCACGATTTCGGCCTGGTTTACATCAAGGCCTGCATTGTCTCTTATTCCTACTTTTTTAATTTCAAAACAGTGACAGCTTTTGATTATCTTTTTTGCGTTTTTTAATTCTATAAAGAACTAAGACCAATTCTTCTTGAAACATAAAATATAAGGCAAAAGTTTAGCAACACCAAAAATGACTCTTATTGTTTTCATATTTTGAGCCATACTTTATTTCAGATATGCGCATGGCGGCTAGTCAATCTGATAATACTCCATCATTCACTTCATCCAAAGGAATGTTTGCATGGATGCTCCCAATTTATACAGTTGGCGTCGTTGCCTTTCTTATTTATACTCTTATAAAGGTAAATTAATGCAATAATGCGAACAACATATCAAATGTAACAACGTACAGTTAGTGACATTGATTATCACTATTAACTCATCTGTAAACTTTTACAGCTTTCTGTTATTTTTCTTTCGGACAGTCGACTTTGATTATTTTTCTTCTCTCAGCGTACAAATTTGTGCGTTCCATATTATATAATTCATATTAGTGAAAGAATTTAGTCAAAAAAAAAGCGACGAACTAGGAGGCATAACCACTCATCAACCGAAACTGAATCTGAGGACGACTTTAATCATTTCAATGGTCGTGCCGGTAGCACTCATATAGGTATTTTCCAAATCTTGCACCAATTCAAATGTAGCAACTATCTAATTGTCTAGAGAAAAAGTGGTTTTGAGAAATTCCTATTAATTTCAGGTAAACGAAAACTAGAAGGATTGCAAGAACGCTTAAAACAAACTGAAATTGCAATGGAAAAAATTTTAGAGCAATTGAACACAATTTCCACTGAAGCAGCGAATGTAGCTAAGCGTAGTTTGATGACTGAAACAGATAATGATAATGAAGATTCAGTAAGGCGAGATGTTGATCAGCAAGATGGAAAAACAGAGCAATATTTGCGTGATCTTGAAGAGGTTTGCTATAAGAATTTGTTGAAAGAAAAAACTTGGAGTTTTTATTTTGTTTTTAGTCTCATTAGCAGTTTCTTACACAAATCACCCGTACTCAAAAATGCGCTTATTTGACATGCATCTCAATCAACGCTGTAATAATCTTACATGTTATTGAATAATATGATGTTCTAAGACTACTTTTTTAGATGATTAGTTGATGCTGTTTTCAGTTTTCATATTATAGGCATTGCGAGACTTCAAACAGCTTTCCAAAAAATATCGAAGTCAAGGACAGAATGATAGTAGTACTGTTAGCGATGCTGATTCATGCAACGATGAAAGTATGGAAGGTTGTGCAACGACAGTAAAAATAAATAAGGATTCCGAGGGACATAAACAGAATGCCTCCAATCAGTATCCAAAAAAACGTCCAAAAACCTAGCGCTTAGTATCCTACCGATTACGAGCTTAGACAAAGTCATATACATGATCTGTAATTAGGCGATCAGTTGGAACCCTTGTGTTGAAAAACTTACCTTGTTATTCATTGTTGAAAAAGGTAATTTATATTAGAACTTTGTAACGTATTACCTATTCCACAAGCATTTATTTAATCACACACCTTAACATCTCTACTGAAATGCTGGCAACAAGCAACTTATTTTCAGATTTTTTTTAGACTTGCCAAGATACAAGCTCTCACCCCTCCACTGAAGTAGTTTCTGTTCTTCTTTATCTAGTGTTTTCTATAAAGCTTTAAAACATAGTTTATACAATGCGTTTATCATCATTCTCTACTATGTATGAAGATGCATAATGCACAATTAATCTGTTTTTGACGTAAAATTTATTCAAGTGTCATAAGCTTTGGATATTCTACACTGTGAACATACTGAACTATGTTGAAAAATGGAAAGAAATTTTCTTTTTGTTCAAGTATAAGAAGAAGTGAGACAAAGTGAAGTTTTTGAAATTCATACGTTTTTAAAATATCGAGAAACTGATTCTGTGCATTTTTGGTAGGATTCAATGCAGTAGAAAGATTTAATTCAAATGGAAATTCGTTCACTTGTCATGGAATTATTAACAGCAGGTCTTATCATTAAGCCCAATTTGTTGCCCGATTCACATCACTGGGACGTCAAAGAATGTGGAAAGTAATTATACTGATGTAATACGGAACTGAAATGAAAAAGCTGGAACAGTGAATAAACATGTACACATTGAGAAGTCAGTTTTTTAGATGCAATATGCAGAATTTATTTGGTGCACGTGATAAAAACAAGTTGCTTCTTTCGAGATAATTAGTGAAACGTAGTAGCAAGTACTCGACTAAAGGAAAAAAAAGATGTTTGTACAATGAACACCAAGAGAGAACAATGCAAGTACAAACGATCAACCCGTTCTTTGAATGAATGCAAGTAAACCTAGAGATAGCAAGTTTATGGGGTAAAACGCAACGTTCTCTCGTAGAGACACGTCTGTGTCACAATTTTCTTCGTCAACAGTCCTTACTGCGAAATAGAAATGACAAACAAACAGTAATATATATATAATCATAGAGAAGTAAACTCCGTAACATTATAATGTGCTCATGACTTCAGTATATAAACATCCCCAAGTGTGTTAATCATGTAACTTAAAAATATTTCGATGTAACGGAGAAATATGAATGTTAGATGGGTGAAATGAGCAGGAGTGACAAAGACAGATTTGAAGTTATCTTAGGTCGCTGCGATCTTAAGAGGAATTCAGTTTCGCATACCTCATACCATTGTTAGCCTCTGATGCCAAATTATCTGCAACCTCGAGGTCAGCATTTTGCCATTCATTTGCTGACATTGGATCCGAATGAGCTAATCCACGGATTTGGACTTCAGTTCCATAACCTGGATTTTCGAAAGCTACTGACGGATCACGGTCAGATAGTGGTTGATTACGGTGAAGTTTGGGAACAATTTTTGGCCAAGCATTTGTTCTTATCATATAAACAGTGAAGGATGCTGCAGCAGCGACTAAAAATGCAAAAAAGAATGCCGAGACAAATGTATGACTCGTACTTCGACTTGAACCTGAAATATTTGTAAGTCAAATAATCAATATTGTTTTGATTACAATAAAATTTATCACAATCTGATTTATTGCTTATCATGCTGAATTGCTTCATAAATTTCACATTCATCTCTATCAACAAAGTAATTCCCATTTACATTATTCAAACATGACCCCGAAGTTGTTCTGTTTGAATGTAGTCTCCCCTTCGGTCAAAAAATTTGCTGTGTCACTACAACTAGTTAAATTTTGACATTTACATTGCAAAATGAAATTTTGGACACAGATGTGAACTGAAGTATACCATGAAATAATTACAACTTACCAAATGTATTGATAATTTTTCCTTCTAGAAATGGTGAATGACCAAGAGCATTTGCAGAGACTAATGCAAGGTCGTAATTTGAATTCGGATCAAGGCCTTCTATGAAAAGTTCTGTATCACTAGTTTTCAAAACAGTGAAGTTACCAACACTATTCTCTTGACGATAGTATACGGCATAAACTTTGTAAGGATCAACCTCAGTTTCAGTCCAAGATACCTGTTAAGAATCCTTATGTTATTATGACTTCAAAGTTTGAAAAAATTTAAATAAAAAGATGATAAAGTGAGCGAAAATTTTCCTATTTTAATATATTTTGTAAAAAAGTTAAAAAACATAAAACTCATGTTCATATCAATAGTTTTAATGAAACAGTTGATTAAAAATTCATTGAGGTGATTATTTTTAAACAATCATAAGCTCATAATAGTGTCCATATGTGGATTAAACCACTTTTTGAATGAAACAAATGGAAGAAACCTTAACAGAATCTGGAGAAACAGTTTCATAACGAAGCTGTGTCGGAGGTGAAGGAGCACGTTCATGTCCCCTGATCATGCAAACAACTGCTTTCGGGGCGAAGATTGAACATAGAGCATTGTTGACAACTTTACCACCACTGCACATATTCAAACAATCTGGTGGAATACGTGCTCTCATGCAACAAGCTCGATGATCTCGTCCGTCATTAGCACACCGTATTAGATCTATAAATCAAGAAATTCATGTAATTTTTTCATCAAGAAGGAACGAGAAGAAACACTTTTGTCCATTAAAAACGGAGTTAAAACTAGGAAAATATGTGGTATATACATAAAATTGCTGAAATATGAAGCCAGTCATTTTTTTCCTCGGCTGAGAGTAAATTTTTAAGAGATTGAGAAGCATTACACATTAAAAAAATACCTTGCGAATATGCTGAACAATCACCATCAATTTCAGGATTGACAGAACAAACGCGTAAACATTTTTCCGAAATTTTCGCATTGGCACAACACTGCAACAAATTTCGATTCTACAGATCATTTATTGAATCTGTGATGGATCGTGAATTACAATTTATGAGTATAAAATAATGACAGAAGTGAAGAACAAAACCTGAAGGACAAATCGAGGTGTCAAGGGTAAAGCAGCTTTAGCAATATTAAGCTCAGCATCTTTTGAGACCTGATAGCCATCCTCACCGACGGCTTTACAAGAATAAATTCCATTTCGATTAGTTACATTTTTTATCTGAAAACAAAAAATCAAAGTAAATAATGATACAAAGTAGAACATAAAAGACTGAAAAGATGCGAAAATTTGATGCATTATACTGTCAACAATCTGATGCTATGAGTTTTTGAAAGAATTAAAAAATTTTGTGAGTGTATATCAGATAGTTCTTCAAATATTATTAGTAAATAGCGAAGTGTTTGAAAAATTTTGAAAACCCTTATGTTAAGTAATTACTGAGAAAACTTAAAAGTTAAAACAGCATTTTTTTTTTGTACAAAATTATGCAAGTAAAAAGCAAGATAACTGCACATACGAGCAGTTTTCAACAGTAACTTCTTATCATTTATTAAAAACAAAAGAAATGCTCAGAGCGTACAAGAAGGGTGTAAAGATACTGATTATGTGCAGTTTTCTTTACCAAAACCGGATCATTCAAACGTTCGGTACGTGCAGAATTAGCAGACTGTCGATAATGCCATTCCAGTAAAGGCTCAGGATAACCTTGGACAATACATTGAATTTGAGCGGATAAATCATCATATGCATATATTTCTTCCGTTACCATATTCACTATTGGCCCAACTGCAGAATTTCATAAAAATTATTAACTACGTACAGTTCGTATATGCATTTACTTTATTATTTCTTATGCAACAAAAAATGTAACGGCAGGAAATATTGACAGAATCAAAAGCTCATTAGTTAATGACTTTTTTAAATGATAAAACATACGACTTTTTTAGAGTAAAGTTAATTAATCATGTCATTATAACATTATTACAACCCTGGTTACTGCAGTTTTATATTGCGAGTAGCTACTGCTCTGTGGTAATTACAGACAAACAATATTGAGTATAGACGTTAATGTGTTGAAAAACCATCTTAGAGAAGTTGATAAAGGATCAATAGTAGCTTAAGATACAAAAAAAGCTTTAAAAAGAATATTACAATGATTTGAAATAAGTTTAGTATTTTCGAGTTTTGAATTTAACAATAATATGCGTAGCATCACTCTTTACATACCCGACTCTTATTACAACGAAATTTTCTTTCTAGTTTTGTTAACTATTTCTAATGAAGAGAAATCATGATAAAACAAATTCCACTAATAGTTCTAAGTATGCTTAATTATCCCTTTATGCCTATTTCATTATAGACGGTTTTATGTTTCAAAATTAAATCCAAATGTCAGACAAAAAATTAAGTAATTTAAACGTACACTGTACAAAAATATGCATTTGCGCACGATTCTGACGACCATCAGTGTCCATTACAGTACAGGTTATTAAATTACTTTTTTCATCTATTCGTAGTGATGTTTCGACTGTCATCTTTGGTGGTTCACTGTGCATCTGTTTAAAAAAAGATTAATTGTTATGTGATTAGTTATAAAATTGTGATGGTCCATCTTTTTACTCTAAAAAAGTAATTAGCAAGGCTCAATTTAATAAAATAAATTAAGATTAATGCTTTAAATGAGTGAGTTTTGTATAAGAATAATCTAATTCATGCTCTGAGTACAGGCCATGCATAGCTTCATAAATTGATTTTAATGTCATTAACTGAATAAGTTGCATAACGAGGATTTTTATGCTATCAAATTATAAATACATCCTAACAACGAATAGTACTACTTATGCGTGGTATAAACAAATAACACAGAGATCCGGTTTTTTTTTTTTTTTAATTTAAATAAAAACGAGAATAATGTTACCAATATTTTCCCAACTGACAAATCTATGTTAAGTGTTCGTTCACTTTCTACAGTGCATTTAATTCCGATTTGTTCATTCACACGATAAGTTCGATTAGCATTTTCGGGAGTAATTACAATCTTTGGTTCTGGTAAAGCATAGTCATCTAAATTTTTTAATAATCATTTTTGTAAAAAAGTGTTCTTATATACTGTTTTAAGACTGAAAGAGATTTCTAATCACAGATGTGACTGCCAAAAATTTTCATCAATCAGATCAAACTAACAGTAACGATTTACCCATTTCACTGTGCTGACATGCATATTCTTTATTATTCCTAACTTTTTTCGTAAAAGAAAATTAATAAGTATTCAAATAAAAAACCAATATTTTTTAAGTATTCTGAAATGTTTAGAACAAATTTTGAAATCAACTGTTGGTCATATTTTTTGTGATACTGTAGTATTGCAGTAGGTCTGATTTTTATAAGGAAATTCGTAATCGTTTTCTGATTAAAAGTTAATTATAATAAGAAATAATAAACCAGATTTAAGAAGTAAGAGCATCACGTGTTAATAAAAAATGTTTTCCAATAATATTTAGAAAAAATACCAGGAGCAGCAAGTATTGTTATGACGGATGAGCTTCTACTCCTCAAATTACCTGCACTTACATAAACATATACTTCGTAAAGAGAATTCATTAATAGATTTTCCATCACATACCACATATCTTTAGTTTTAACCTAAAACACATAAATAATGAGACAATTAACAATAATGCTCAGTCTTCTTAGCTCTCCTTCAATTAAACAATCTATATTCCTTCAAAGTTCTCGAAAAAGTTTAGAGAACAGAAATTATTTGGATAGAAAAAATACAAAAGAAATGAATTTTTAAAAAACATGCCGAAGTCCAAGCAGATGCGTTTCCGGTCAAGACATAGTTGACAACGTATGTAACAAGTTCAGTAATTTTTTGTCCATTATATCTGACTGGAGTCCAATTCCATGTGATATTAACACGTTTTCCATGATTCCAAGCTATGTGCAAACCAAATGGTGGAACTGGTTTGTCACTTTGTTCTGAATGAATGAGAGACTTATTACACAGAGATAAGATAAGATATAAACAGTTATTCAAGATTGCTTTCCATGAATGGCATGTTTACAATATAAACAGATTCTGAAAAAGATACAAACCATCGTAGGGTAATGTTTCAAAGGAAATTCGAAGTGATGGAGGACTCGAACCATACTTATTGAATGTAATTACATAGGCGGTATAGTTTGTATTTGGTTCTAAATCATGAAGACGAACAGAATTCGTTGTAACATTAATCTAAATGGAGCAAACCATTATTTCGTAGAGCATTATAATTTTTTTTGTTATTAAATTTCCCGAGAAAAGTTACTGTAAAGCTTGAGAAGTTAGTTTTCTAATAATCTTTAGAAACCAATTAAAATTATCTTAAGAATTTTCGCACAATTTATAAAACTATTAGTCTTTTCAGCTACTTTAACAAGGATAAAACATTTACTAAATTAAAATCTAACCTGCCTGAACACATTGGCGCCTTTCGTAAGAGTCACTTGATATGAATCAGCAGCGCGCTCTGATTGCTTTTCCCAAGAAAGTTGGACTGAAGAAGAATTCCTTGAGAGGACTTCTAAATTACTAACAGCAGCTGGAAGATTTGTTGTAAGCCATGAATAGCAATTAGCTAGTTTTGGCGTGTGCTCAATGCAACCTCTTTTGAGTACGAACGGATGTCGACATGCAGAAAGGCACTCATCTGGTATACCTGTCAAAAACTGCCTTTCACAAGAATCATTTATAACAAGTTCCAAGTTAATTTATGCTAAAAGAAGGTTATAGATATTTACCGGATTCAACACAGCATCTCGTATGGTCATGTCCTTCAGAGGTGCACTGAACCCATACGTCTCCATACTCGGAACATTCTGCTGTGAGAGGAGATGAGCTGTTGTAACACACAGACAAACAACTAGTTGAAATACCCCGTTGTTCACAGCATTCTTTTGCAAGATCTGCTCTAGATGCTGCAAATAATCCATAGCCGTATAGAATAAAAGTTTTTTGTTACTGAAAATTTTCACTCATTAACATTAATTCCCAAGGTTAGTAAAATTCTTGTAGTAAACATGAAATGGTAAATACACGAAAAAATGAAGCTATAAATTATCGGTAATTTCATCTATTAAAACTTTTGAGACCTTAATACTAGGTTCACTTGTTCGTTTATGAAAAAATCTAGTCAAATCATTGTGGAGATTAACTAACGTTTGGAACAGCAAAGCGTGTCTGTCTCAGAAGTCCCAGCAATCACACAATCATAACCAGATGGACAATCTCTAACACCAGCACCACAATAATACCTAAACAATATCTAAGTAATTTTTTTCTAGTAAACAAAAAAAAGTTATTTCGTATGAAGCAATATCAAAGTAGATATTACCTATATCCACTCGAATCATACAATGGTTCACCATATGGACAGAAAGATGATATCAACGGATGCGTGAAGAAGATTTGAGCAGTTGACATTAAACTGTCCCCATTACTTCCATGACTTTGCATATAGATTGTATATTCGGTATCAGGTAGAAGACCATATTCAGTATGAGGAGATGTAACATTATGCACCTGCAACAAACATGAGAAATGTATAAACTCAGTATTTTACTTTCTGATGACTTCCCAATCGTGAACAAATCATCATAAAGCAACAATTATTGTTTGGTCTGATAATCAGTTATCGTTTCTCGTCATATTAATTGCTAAAAAAGTCCTTCAGATCAAAACATTAAATTCAAGTTCTTAAAATTTTATGGAAATTAAATTATCATTATTTTTTACACCCTAAAATGAACTTTATTAACAAAAAAATTTTTTTAACTACAATAATATGATTGCTTTAAAGATCTGAACAATAAGCTGCGCATGTTAATTGTCAATAACATATCAGAAAATCAGTGCTTTGTTAAATTGTAGTAGAAGCAAGAAATGTAGTTATTACCTCGATAAGACTGAAAATGCTATCATCTTTTCGTATAAACAGAGAGAATGATAATGCAAGATGCGCATTCACGGCAGGTTCACTCCATTCCACTTCAACAGAACTATCTGTTATTGCTGTCACAGTCACATTCTGTGGTGGAGAAGGTCGAGTGTCTTAAAAATTAAAAACATAGTTTGATAAAGAAAAAAAAAGACCAGTTATTGGAATATTTCAAACTGGATTTAGTTCCATTTCATCTTTTTCTACTGGAAGTGCAATGTAATGAACATTAGTGATAAACTGATGCTCTGATCAACCTAATTATTAGCTTTATATTACTGAAATGCAGAGACAAATATTTGAAAAGCATGAGTACCGTAGCCTTGCCGCAAACACTGATAGATGGCAGCAATATCCAAATTTAGGCACAGTAGAGAATGTGTTGTCAAAGGTTCCGCAATTCCACCACATATTTTTAAGCAGTCGTGTTGGACACCTTTCTTGATGCAGCAATCCGTGTGATTCCGTCCATCAGCAAGACATGGACTAACCTTGAATTATTAGATATTTTTTATTAGAAGAAAAAGAAAACTCTTAATTGCGTCATATTAGTGACTAAATTATTTTAGCTAATAATTTTAAACAACAAAATACATGAATTAAATATATTTCACCAACCTCAACAGCAATACAAATCTCATGAAGTCTAACAAAGCCTAAAGTTTTATATAAAAAAATTAAAAATTCATACCTAAGAAGACTTATTTAATCTTCTCAGATATAAATTTCAAACGGAAAGCTCTCATAAAATTCAGTGATTAAAAATTATGTAGGATATGCTTGAAAATGAACGTTTAGCTAATTTTATTATCATATTCTCCAATTTCTACATTATATGAAGTTTAACATCTGCTATAATCAACGTTCAAATATTTTAGTGTTAAACTCAAACAAGTCTGTTTTCATATTTGGCTTAAATAGACTTCTTGTATAGTAAAATAGGGTCAAATTTTAAATTACTTTGGACCATTCTGCTCGACATGAAGTTGATATAGTGATTGTTTCAAGAGCATTCGGAATCGTTCGTACATTACACATTTTTGATGCACAGTATGGTGACACACCATTTGAAGAGCAGCATTCTGCAATAACTTTTGATGGAAAAAGCAAAATAAAAAACTTATTAACAGACATTGAAATTCAAATTAATACCTTTAGCACCAGAAATTAGTGACTCTCTTCAACATTTACATCAACTGCGTTAGGAATTTCTGATAACATTAATAACAGATGATAAGAAAAAAATTTTAAACATATCTTTAAAAGACAATCATAGAAGTATTAGCAAGTTTTCTGAAATAAGTGTCACCATTTTAGAATTATGGACAATCAACTAAAAAAGCCTTTGAAACCAATCGTAATATCTACGGCCTGCGGTATCTTTAGAGAATAAAAGCAAATGCACCAGATTAATAATATAAAAATTAATGTATTTCTGTCCGACAATTTCCTCGTATTGCTAATGCAGTTCAAAGGTTACCAATGAAAATGCTTCAATGCAAGAAATATTGATGAAGAAAGTGGACGATATTTGCATAAATTACCTTCCTGTACATCAATGCTAAATATTTTTGAATCTGATCGTAAAATAAATTTTAAGCTGATAATTTTAAGGAAGCACGATAAATGAAAGAAGCCTAGATGACGAGAACAATTACTGTATTACAAGTACCAAAATCCGTCAAAATTATATGTACTATTTATGAGTTAATTAACTGTACCTCACTTATAAAATCTAATAATTTTTCTGTCACTTGTAAACGTTTTCTATGCTTTATGATGACAATCAAAGTTTGTATTTTGGAATTTCAATGACTCGTCAGAACGAAGGTGTCAAAGAAAGTATTCTGCTGTTACTTTGCAAGCATGAATATTTCTTCATCAAAAAAAGAAAAATCCTTGCCAGTTCACATCACAGAGCTATGTAGTGGACAGCAGTATGTAGAACTATGTTAAATCACCCAACCAAGTAAAATGAAATTAACAATAATTTCAAGAAGCATTTACAAAATATAATAACGCCATATGTATTATCCATCCCTGACTGATTTTGTACTTTCTACACGTCTATCAAACTAACTCAAATTGTGATAGCAACAAACGATTTCTGCTTGCTAATTTTGCGTTCAATCTCTTGTTTAAACTGTAGAACTTGCTGACGGTTGGTAGCGGAGGCTGCTTCCAACCCTCTGCAATACTTCTAAGTGACGTAGTTAGTGGTATTATAAAAATATGGAAAATGGAGTAAGGAGTACGCTCGATTTGTGGTAATGTTGAATTATTTGGCGTTACAATCGCATTTGTTGTAGCTAAAGCTCGCGATGATGGCACCGACATGCCATAATCGTTAGATGCTGTTACGTAAACGATATAACGTGTTGCTGAACGTAAATCTTTCAGCGTAACACATGTTTCTGTTGTATTAACCTGTAGTTAAAAGTTTCCTTATCACTTGTTGGATGTAATTTATTTTTGATTTTTGATTAACTTTGATTATCTCGATGAAGTAAACTTCATACGTTGGAGTTCAGGCATAAATGATTACTATGATATTTTTTGCATATGCACAGAAGTCTAATATCAACTGTTACAAAAGAAAGACACTTTACTTCATTAAATTTGAATTCGCGAACAGTTGAATCATTTGTAGATGAATCGTGTGTCACGAAGAGCCATGTTTGTCGTTTGCCGCGTTTCAAAGATTCCATATTAGATGGTACAACATCGCCCATGACATCATCTTCAACTACTCCACCTGGGATGCTTTCTTCGTAATCACCAGAAAGAAGAGGTATGCCACTGAAATAACCAACAATAATAATTTGCTGATTTAAGATGAAAACTTTTATTAAATACTTGAATAACAAAGAAATATTAAAACATCAAGATTTCAATCTTTTTGGTAAAAATCTAAATACGCAAGTTTATAAGCTTAAAATGACAGATCTGCTGTTGGTATCAAAGACTTTGTTGAAACTCACTCATCGCCTCCCAGAAAAGGAAATGAAGGAATCTGTTTGTAGTACACAGTATAGTGATCAATTGCATAATCTTTGTTAGATGTTTGAGGTTGAGGAGGACGCCAACATACACGTAGTTCGTCTGATCCAACCGCATTCACAGTCAAGTCTTGTGGATGCTCAGGAAAAGGTACTAAGAAAGAAGAAGGTCACGCTTTTTCCTTAAATTTGAAGTAAAAGAAAATGAAAAATAAGTTTGTGATTTCAACTAAAACTTACAGTATGCACGATTATAACATTCGAATATTTCAGGAAGATAGTATAAGCATAGTCGATGTGATTTACGTAGCATCTGAAAGTTACCAGAACAAAAATCGTAGCAAAACGAGGGTACAAGTTGTGTTTTACAACACTGTACATGGCTTCGGTTTCCGCCTTCTGTTGCACATGATAAAAAATTTTTGTAATCATCCGTTTTACAACTGAAAAATAAATTTTTTTCAATCTTCAAAAAAAAACAAATTTAGCAATAAAAATAATGCGATCTAACGCAACTGCTAGATCTGATTCAAACAATCATAAGCAAATTAGCTTCTCATAAGAAACTGACATGTTAGACAGATTTTTGTAATTGGAAAACTGCGGAAGTAGAAAATAAATCAATGGCACTGAACAAGGACGAAAACTTCAAAATTTGCCTTTTCACCTGGTTGGGTCAAAATGATGAATGTGCATGTCCTTTGGTTTACACATTGCCTGACATAATGGTGATATGCCTTTCTTTGCGCAACATTCGCTGTAATCGTAACTGATATTTTCATGAAAACCACCTTTCAATCCACTTTCTGAAAGTTCTTTTCTTCCAAAATAATCACTTGACAAGTTTTAAAAAGTTCATTTGCAAACTTTTTGAGGTAAAATTTTTTACAAAAAAAAGAGAAGAATAAACATAAGGAAGTAATGAACAAAAAGTGTGTTTGAAAATTCTGTTCTTAATTTTCAATAGACTTCCCATTTCAAAAATTGAAAAATAATGATTTGCTGCAACTAAGATTGAAAAACCTGCTAAGTTTTTGAAAGCAAAGAACAAAATTTTCTATAATCAGATCTACGATGCATAAAAGTTCCAAAATTATTTCAATAACCTACTTCTTCTATAAAATGTTAGTACACTGATACTTACCAAGTACTTCCAGTTGAAATTCGAGTTGCTGCGGTTGATTTGAAATTTGACATCGATAACGGCCCGCATCTTCAAACGTAAGATTTTTCAAAACAAGCGTAAAATCTTCTGACGCACACTGACAACACTTATTATCTACACAATGTAAGCCATCATCACATGCGACCGAATCGGAACAACTTTTTGTACACTCTAAAAATACAATATGAATTAATAATTTATTACTAAAATGATGAGTTTTGGTGATTAATTTTAAAAGTAAATTTCAGCGATAACCTGAAACTGCTACTTTATTAACATTATTATCTTCTGAAAATGTCTCTCGATATGAATGACGAACATAAAGCATAATATGATCCATATTAGTAAACATCATCAGAATTTTAAAGCTTTACATTTTCTGCTCGCACATTTCTTATGCATTCAAACTACTAATATTAACCAAAGTTTTGTGTCAAAATCTATTCACTAAATCATATTTTTTGAGCATTAAGTGAACATACTAGGTTATTACTCTTATAAATTTTCAAGATGAGAATCTTGTTTTTCAATTCAACGATGCATTTCACCTTTATCTTTATCGGTTTCAATATTATGCTGAAGTAAAACAGAATCAGGATTTAAACCAGAACTATCCAAAAACTGAGTGGAATTAAATATCGGTACATCATCTTTCAACCAAACTATCTAAAAACATAAAAAATAAAACTTTTATATCGAGTGTTTAAGCAAAAATGTTTTTCATGGAACTGTATGTCGCATTAAAACATTACAGAAATTTTTTAAAGTAATACAAAACTGCAATTTACAGACAAACTTTTCGAACAATTCAAAACTTGCAGTAGATCCATGGCGCACGCAAGTATTTAGCATGCATTCAAGGCGTGCGGCAAACCCTTGTATAACAGTCATATATCCTTCATCTGAAGTCGTTAGATGTAATTCTTTCGTTTCGCATACAAAAACAGTGCTATATAATACAATCAAAAATAATTGTACCATCTGAAAGCAACAATTTGTCGGCTACATCTATTTCAATATTGATAGTGACAACCTCAACAAAAGTCGTACTGAGGTTTACTCACGTGTTTGATCAATACATGCTATA